CTCGCTGCCCCTCTCCCCCATTTGTGTGCGCCCTCTCTCAAAATAAATAAACAAAAAATTTTACAAAGAAATTTAAAAAATATACTACACAACAAAGTGTGGAGACTGGGTTGGAGGAAAGGAAGGCCAGGGACCCACTGAAATTGCTGTAGTATTTCAATGGAAGATGGTAGTGGCTGAACTGAGAACAGAGGGAAGCAAATGTATTCTTGAGACACCTGAAAGTTAGAATGGACACAATGTGGTGATTGATCAGATGTGCGATGTGATCAATCAATCAAGGATAGTCTGTTTCTGGCTCAGGCAGCTGGGAGGATGGCTTGCTCTGGAGACAGCTCTGAAAAGAGAGGAGGACATGTCTGTTTAGGTTGAGTTCTGGTCGTCAGGGAGTCAGAGTTAACTTCCTCAAGTCCAAAGGTCCATTGGGCCCCATACCACTCTCTTGGAGCAGGAAGGTTTCCTTTGCCAGCTTAACAGTAGCTGATATCTGACTAGGGTCCTTACAAACACTGGTCATTATCATTTATGCGTCTGTTCAATCAACCAATGTTTATGAAAGATCAATTATGTATTCACAGTATCCTGCATCCCATACACCCCAGTGTCCAACGATGCAGGTGGCTTAGTGCTCCTCTTTATTTTTCCTATGTTATTTTTTCAGCTTTATTGACGTTTAATCGACAAATAGTATCGAAAGATATTTAGGGTATACACTGGCGATTTGATGTATGTGTACGTTGTGAAATGATTCTTCCCATCTAGTTAGCATATCCATTACCTTACATATTTACCTATGGGGGACAACGCTCAAGTTCCACTCTTTTAACAAATGTCACTTATACAATACAGGGTTATCAGCTAGAGTCACTGGGCTGTACATTAGACCCTCAGACCTTATTCGTCTTACAGCTGAAAGTTTGCACCCTTTTACCAACCTCTCCCTATATTGTCCAACTTCCTGCCCCTGGCAACCACTTTCCTATTCTCTTTATCTAAGAGTTCTACCTTTTTTCTTTATAGATTCCACATGTAAGTGATATCAGGCAGTATTTACTGTCTCCCTCTTTGGCTTCTTTCACTTAGCATAATGCCCTCCAGATCTACTATGTGATTGTGTATGTTTAAGTAAAACATCTTAATCCAATCAGTCATTCATTAATAAGACACCTTGTTTCCATATCTTGGCTACTGTAAATAATGCTTCAATGAACGTGGGAATACAGATAGCTCTTTTTTTTTTTT